TTTTTTTTTTTTTTTTTTTTTTTTTGGTGTTGGAGGTCTCCATGATTTCAAACGAGGAAATGCTGAGGTGACTTCAGGGATTAAAGCCTGTTAACCATGTATTATGTTGCAGCATTTGCAATTTGTAAGCCAAATGTCTGCTTTTCTCTCTTTCACAGTCTGTTTTCTCCGCAGCAGCCCTGTCTTGGCCACGGAGGCTTTAATCGGGTACTAAAGTAATAGTAGAATACAGGTTAGAAAAAAAATTATGGGGAAAATAATAACCCCATAATCCTTTTCTTGAAAGGCCTGACTCAAGTGGAGCTTGTTGACAGCAATGTGAGGCACAGGCACCTTTTCTTGGCCCAGAAACAACGGCAATCTGCCCTTAATGGCTAGTACACCTGAGAGTTATCAGTCTTCCAGGACAGCATTAGTCAGTGGGCTGAACTCTGATGACAGCTGATAAAATAAAAGAAGCAGCAGAAGCTGCTTGACTTTTTCCTCTTTTAATCAGTAATTACAACAGATTTCAAAAATTAACCATGCTATATAATTCTTAGAAAAGGCTTCAAATAACTTTGCCACCATTTTTGGGCACAAACTGTGGGCTGGAGGAGATTCTGCTGGTCCTGAGGGTACAGCTGGTCTTGCAACCCTTTCTTGGGAAAAATCTTAACATGTGTCCTACCATCTCACAGCTAAGCTGGGAGGTCAGGCAGATACAAAAGCCATCAAGCTGAACAGGAACAGAATCAGGTCACTGCTGAGAGCTCTTGAAACTCGCCTCGCTTCCCCCCCAAAAGTAATTTGAGCAAGCAAAGATGGAACACTACTCCAGGTATTAAGCAAGGAAAAAAAAATTTTCCCACTGAACTCCTCCTCCTCCCAGGATGGAATGGCATTGCAGAACACAGCTGGCAAAAACTGGATGGCTGGTTTAAATAGCCCACATTTCATTCCCATTTGCAATGAGAATGGTCTTTCTATATCTATTGGAAACTCTCATGTAATTCCTAGAACCAATGTGTCCCATTGGTTTAAGAAGAGCTGCAGAGACTATATTTTGCCCTGGTAATATTGGTGCAACCCTCTGAATGTTTGGGCAGGCACGTTCCAGCATCTTTAACACAGCAGCAAGTACATGCAGACAGTTGCCATTGGCAACTTTCTCTCTGCAGATTATCAGCACTGTTGTACAAGTAACAGCGTAAAATAAAAAGCATCTCTTTGCAGTAAATGCTAAACATACACAGGGCTCTGTTCTACCTCCTTATTCGGCTTATCCATCCACCTCAGCGTCAGTATTGCAGTAACATTGGGTAGTCCTGGACCAGCACTGGAAGGAATTATTTCCTTAATTGTCCAATATCAAACTTAATCTTGGTCTCCGTGAGTAAGAACGTCCAGCTGGGCTGTTCTGACTGAGGGGACTTCTGGAGTCCTACTTTATGCTTCTCAGCTTTTGACACCTGCCAGCTTTTGCACCCTGTATTTCAGAATGTCCTGTCTGTGGCTGGGCTTTTTTACAGCTCAGTGTTATTACCTTACTGCACCAAGCTCTGCTCTCCTTTCTCATGCACCCACTGCGGCTGCATGGATGGAGAACTTCCCTTCTCCCAGTTGCAGGCTCTTCAGATCATTTCTGCCTTCACTTTTGATTTCGGCAGAGGTTGGACAATGAAAACTTCTACTGGCAGGATCATCCTGAACCTGCTGTAAAAAGATCCTCCAAACCCTGCCTTCCATGGGCTGCTGAGCCTGTACCTCTGATTCATGAGCACGGATGCTTTAAGTCCTTGCTTAAGTATGATTAATGTCTGTAAAGCCTGTGCCCACCTGAGCAGGGGGCTCTTTCCACGGAACAAGCCTTTGACATGACACACTCTACCTTCACACTTTGTGCAGCCACAGACAAAGCAGATTGTAAGAGAATGAGTAAAAGAGGTGACAGAGGATGAACATTAGTGCTGAGTGATGGGATTAGCCAAAGGACAAGCCAAGATGGTTAAGAAGCCAGGCGGTTAGCCAGTACCTAGAAGACACGTGGGATTGTGTGGGGCTCTTAGCTTCACAGCTCTTCACCACTGATGGATTTCTACAGCAATGGAATGAAACGAGAGATGAGTTGTGCACGTGCCACGGGGACAGCATGACCAGCCCGACTGCCAGCCACCCACAGGGACACCCCGTGCAGCTCACCTAGAAAGTAATGAAG